AATTAATAAAAACTTAAAAAAGAATACCCTTGCCCCGGCCCAGCGCAGGCCAGGGAGGCAGACCCTCTTTGTGGGGGAGGGCAACTGTGCGCCTGCGTGAGCCAGGTTTTTTCCATCACTGACAGCAATCCCGTCCTGAGGACTAGAACTTTCTTCTTCCTGTGGCCATGTCTCCCCCTATCTTCCAACAGGACTCAGAGCAGGCAGGGGAGGCCAATCCTGGGCTCAGAGGACTCTCGGGGACAGGGAGGCTCAACAGATCTGAGCGCAGGGTCAGTGGCACCAGGCACCGTCACCTTTGTCATGGCACAGGGCCTCGCGGCACCAGCATCAACCCCACTGGCCAGGGGAGGAGACAGAGGCCAGCCATGTACCACCTCAAGGGCACACAGCTGAACCCAGTGCTCCTTTTCTATTCCCCAGTGAGTTCCCCACTTCTCAATCAGCAACAAATTCAAGGGCCTGTCCCTCCCACGGACTCTGTCCCCCACTGTCCCGTCCAGCCCCACCACCCTCAGAGGCAGGGTACCTGAGGGCCAGAGCAGGCCGGGATCAGAGCGGCAGGGGCCCCTGGGTTCTGGCCCACAACACCTTCTGGCCCGGTCTGCATCTGCCAGTCTATAAATTCCATTATTCATCAAGTGACTATGTGAGTTTGCCCGGACAATGAATATTTTATTCACCTCCAGACACTGTCCCCAGCGAGTTCTTGGAACAATATTGTTCCCAGCCAAGGAGCAGAGGCCAGAGCCTCTGCCCTCGATGGACGCCACTCCCCACTACCTGTACTTGCCCACTTCCCTTCACCGTCCGTCCCATTAGACCCCCTGGCTCAGGCAGGGCTGTGGTCAGGGCCTCAGCATGACCTTGAACTTGGAGCCCACCTTCATTCCCTCCTGCAGAAAACAGGTTCACTGATTGCCCTGCAGGCTCCTCAGGGTCCCACACCCTACACTGTGGGGCCCTGGGCTCTGCTGGGAGCTCTCCCTGGTGCTGAATCGAGGGGCGAGAAGATGCTGGCACCCGAGGGGAGGTCTCCAGCCAGGGAGGTGTGGACTGCGCTGCTCTTAGGAGGGAGGGGTCTGGTGTCAGGACACATCGGTCTCCTCACTCCTTGCCTCCCAGAGCCACAGGTGTTAACGGTCGCCTCTCCCAGTGTCTCCTGCTGTCTCAGCCAAGCATTACTGAGCAAGGTCCCTGGAGAGCCCTCCCGGGAAGACCCAAACCAGGCACCTCCGGGGGGCCCCCGGGGAGTAGAGTGTGAAGGCAGCAGTAGCACCTGCTCCAGATTGGGAGCGACAGACATAAATCTCACCCTGCGCTCACACCATCTGCTCCCTCGTGACAGGGGGAAGGGGGCTGGGCGGGGCTGCAGTGCCGAAGGGATGGGCGAGCCAGCAAGAGCAACCGTAATTCATTCTCTCACTCACTCACTCATTCATTCATTCATTCATTCAACAGATGACTATCTTCCTAAGGCCAGCCTCGGGCCAGGCATGGCAGACCAGGGCACACACACCCAGACCTTGCCCTCCAGAGCCGGGAGTGGGTCTCACACGTCTGAGCCGTGGCCCACCCCCGCTCCTCCCTGGACCTGCCCTGACTGTAGGAGAGCCACCACGTTCCAAGCATGGGGGCATTTGATTTATTTCTTTTAAAATATTTATGTATACATTTGAAAGGCAGAGTTGCAGAGAAAGAGGGAGAGAGAGGAGGAGGGAGTCTTCCATCCGCTGGTTCACTCCCCAGATGGCCACAATGGCCAGGCCAAAGCCAAGAGCCAGCAGCTTCTTTTGGGTCTCCCGTGAGGGTGCAGGAGCCCAAGCACTTGGGCCATCTTCCACTGCTTTTCCCAGGTCATTAGCAGGGAGCTGGATAGGAAGTGGAGCAGCCAGGACACAAACCGGTGCCCATATGGGATGTTGGCATTGCAGCTTTACCTGCTACACCACAGCACTGGCCCCAGCACAGGGCACTGTAAATGCAGGGTCTGATTGTCCATTCTGGGGCCACTTGTGGTCCTACTGAACAGCTGAGTAAGCTGAGGCTCAGAGAGATTACATGGTGAGCGCTGGCCTGTCCACAAAGGGCTCTTACTGCTCATGGCACCGTGTCCCCGTCCCACGTCCACAGATGTTACAGCTCCTGCCTCCACAGACCTCTACAAAAACTGCACCCCTCAGCCTTTCAGCAGATAGAATTAACTGTGGCTTCAGCCTTGCCGCCAGCCTTGTAGCACTTGCTCCGTGAACCTGAGGCACGAACAGCGCAGCACGTAGGGACCAGCACCAGGAGGTGCCCAGGGAAACTCAGTCCACAGCAGTGGAAGGGCAGCGAGGTCAACAGTGGTTCCCAGAGGCAGCAAGGCTCCAGCTGAACCTGCACGGGTCAGGAGAGGTCAGCAGGGCCCAGATTCCGGCCCCTGGAGTCCCTGGGCTCCAACCCCAGCTCTACCTTGCACAGCTACACCACGCGGCTTCAGCTCCTGGAGCCATACTGCCCTCGGGGTGTGGTGGGGGGTAATCAGCAGGTCACAGGCACCACCCAGGTATGGCCCGGGTACCCACCAGCACGTGCAGAAGGGGAGCAGGTGCAGCCTGTGGCATGTGGAAGTTTGCTGAGGCCAGCAGCTCCCTGAGTTGAAAGCCAGCACTGTGCACTGGCCCAAGCCGTGGGATGCCCCACAACCGTGGGACAATGGTCCCCAGCAGGCCTGGCCCCTTAGGGTTGGAGGGAGCCTGCCCCAGGGGCACCTTGGTCATCTGACTCCGTGGCCATAGACCAAGGCCAAGTTCGGGGCAAGGCTCGTGTTGTCACGGACACCCATGCCCTTCCTCGGCACAGACCCACGGGGCTGGGCTAGGCTAGAAGGCCAAGCTGATTTGTGTTTGATTCACTCGGGGACCGTTTCTGCCTTTTCCTTTGAGAACTCCCCACCTGGGCAGTGAGGCTGGGAGCGGCCCCTCCACTGGGCCAGCACTGACAGGCTCTGAGTCAGCCTCCCCGGGAGCAGGGCGGGAGCTGGATTTCGTGCCAGCCCCCTCAGCAGGCTCCAGCCCACCCTCCCCTAGCCCAGGGGTCCTGGCTGGCCTGAGCTGGTGCAGACCGCTCACGCTCTCAATCAATACTCAATGCTGTCATTATTAATTCAGATCCCTGGGAGGGGGATTTTCATGCCAATAGCAAATTCCCAAGGGACACCGAGAGCTGCCAAGCACCTCGCCTACGGTCTGTCACTTCATGCTCCAGGGGTCTGGGAAGTGGCACTGCCTCCCTCACTTCACTGGTGGGGAAACTGAGGTCCCACAGCGAGGAGCAGGTAGCTACAGGAGCCCCCTGGCTGCCTGGACCCGAGGGCAAGGTTCTTTCTTCCTGGCTCCTCTGCTCCATTGAGAAGCCCGAGTGAGCTCACTGCATTCAGCTCTATGGGTGGAAGGCAGACAGTAACAGGGGGACAAGGAGGGCTGTGCCATGGGGGCTTTTCTGGGGCCTCTTAGCCTCCCAGGCCAGGCAGCCAGCTGGCCCACAGAGGTCTGGGGAGGGAGACAGACAGACAGACAAGACAGACAGACCGGCTCCTTCCCAACCTCTCTGCAGGCTGCAGATGCTGCTCGGAGATCCTCCACAGCAGTGCCCAGGAAGTGCCGGGGCCCAGGCCTGGCCCAGCCTGGCCTCTCTCCCCAGGCCCCCGACACAGAGCTGTGATTAATCAGTGATAAAAGCAGAAACAACCAGAAAAACGTAATCAGCTTGGGAAGGGCAGGGCCGGGCAGGGCCGCGGCAATCAGCTCTCCTGCTGGGGCCTTCGGCTGATTGGACCCAAGCGGGCAGGGAGGTGGTTCCAACAGGGGCTCCAGGGGTGGGCCCCAGAGCTACGGCCACGTCCAGGCTAGAAGGTCACCATCCCCGTAGAGACACACACGCACATCTGTGCACGCGCGCCACTCCCAGCAGGAGGTCTGCGCCCCCACATGCCCCCAGGCTCTTGCCCTCTCTTCTCCTGCCCTGTACACACAGGTGGCCTCGCGTGTCCTCCCGAATACACCCATCAGCACCTCTGCACCCTGGTGCGTGGCAGATAAATGCACACACCTGCCATTGCGTCCAACACCTGACACCTGGCGCCTGGGGAAGCCCACACACCTCTGCTCTAAGCCCCAGGCTGGGAGCTCGGCCTCACACCACATTCCACGGGGCCGTCAGAGACACGGGCAACCCCTCTGCAAGGCCTTGGGTTCGGGAAGGTTCCAGGACTGGGGCCCCACTATGGAAGGAAGCTCAGTTCTGGGCGCCAGCCACAGGGCCGGGAGGCCAGCCCCAGACCTGCCTGCTCCCTCTACCCCATGACCTTGGTGAGCGTCCTTTGCTCGCAGCTCAGTTTCCCCACCTGGCACCAACACAACGAGGCTCCTGGTCAACCCAGGCTCCTGGGGCCAACCTCACCACTGTGGGTCCCAGCTCCTGGTAGGGGGACCTCCGGGGAGATGGAGAGGGGTAGCAAGGAAGGGCCCCATCCTCAACCCGTCCCCACTCTGGTCCCGGGGGCTGCGGACTTGGGGCCAGGAGGAGACGAGAGGTCTGAGGGAGACGCAGAAGGGGAGAAGGAGCCTCGGCGGCCGCTCAGGGGCCAGCGGCGTGAAGGGGCGGGGGGGGGGGGTGGCGCGGAGGGGGCGGGCGGGCGGCGGGCGGGGGAGGCGGGGAGCGCAGCCGGCGCGGCACAGAGCGAGCGAGCGAGCGAGCGGGAGCGGCGGCGAGAGCCAGAGCGGCGGGCCGGGCGGCCGCGCCGGCGAGCGGACGAGCAGGCGGCGAGCGGCGCGCGGGGCACCGAGGAGCGGGCGCGGCGGGCGCAGCGCGCGGCGTTCGGAGCGGGGAGGCCCGCGCGGCGCCGCCCCCGCCGCCCCTGCGGGGCCCCGGCCGGCAGCCCGACGAGGGAGGGGGCGGCATGGCCGGGCGGCCCGGGGCGTGGGGGCGCTAGGCCCCCGCAGGGGCGCCCCCCGCCGCCTCGCCGCCGCCGCCGCCGCCCTCCGCAGCCGCGCGCCCCGCCCGCTCCAGCCGCCCCCGGGGCCGCCGGCGGCCCATGAGCCCCGGCCTCAAAGTTTGCGGCGGGCGGGCGGGCACGGAGCCGCCAAGATGCCGTTCCACCCGGTGACGGCGGCGTTGATGTACCGGGGCATCTACACCGTGCCCAACCTGCTGTCGGAGCAGCGCCCGGTGGACATCCCCGAGGACGAGCTGGAGGGTGAGTGCCCGCCGGGACCCCTGCCCGCCGGCCCTCCTACCTGTGCGCCCAGGTGCCATGCGGGCTAGGGGCGCAGGGGGCGCCGGGCTGGCCGCAGGTGCCGGCTGCCAGGTGGGCGGCCCCGGCGAGCCAGCTGCCGCGCGGGGAGGCAGGACCAGCCGGCACCCATGGGCGCCGCGGCGGCGGGGGTCGCCGAGGCGGAGGGGCGGCCCTACCACCCCTGCCCGCGTGGCCCCCAGCGCTGCGGAAACTTGCCGGGCCCCGCAGCGGGGTCACGGGGCCGCGCCACCCGCGCTGCCAGTGCGGCACAGCGGAGGGCTGGGGTGAGGGTCCGAGCTGCGCCCCCAGCGCCTGCGGGGCCGGAGCACCCGCATCCTGAGCCCCTTCGCGGCGCCCGCCCGCGGCTCTGCGCTCGCATTGACATTCCGCTCGTGTCGCTTCCAGAATCCAATCTGCTCGGGCAGCTGGAGAAGGGGAGAGGGCGACTGCCCTGCTCTTGCACGCCGCGGGGCCGCCCCCAGCCCCACCTGCAGCCCGCGCCCCTTTCCCGCGGCCCTCCGCGGACCCCCAGCCCAGAGCGCTTGGGAAGGCAGCTGGGGAAGCGGCGGCGACAACAAGTGGCCGGATTGGGCGGCTCGGTCGCGATAGCCAAGCCTGCAAGGGAAAGGCGGGGAGGCCCGGACGGAACCTGCCCCCTGCCCCAGCCCCTCGGCCTCCCAGACAAGAGTGGGGAGGCAGGAAGGTGGCTGGGAGAGGGCAGAGCAGCCAGCAGGGCATAGAGTACCCTGGGCAGCAGCCAGACCCCTGGGGCCTGTCCAGCACCTTCCCTGCTGGGTTGGGGGGAGGTGCTGTGGCTCTCCCTCCCCCCAGCCCTCCTGGGGTCCCATATGGAGTAGAAGGGGGGGCACTCTGCCATGATGGGAGTTTGGGCTTCCTGGGATCTGTTTGTCTGCGATTGGGGGAGGGGCTGCAATTATCCAGAGGGTGGCCCTCTCTAGGTGCCTGGAGTCTCCAGGGTCTCTCAGGTCTGGGGGCTTCATCAGGGCCTCTGGGGGTGCAGCTGGGAGACCAGCACAGTCAGGGAGGATGGTGGGAGCCCAGGGGAAGGCGGACGGGGAAAACCTGCCTCATCCCCAAGCCCAGGTGGGGGCAGCTCCCGTTCATGGAGAAGATGGAGAGAGAGGAGGTGGCTGCCCCAGGCTCGCTGCAGCACTGGCCAGGAGACACCTGCTCCTCACCCGAACCCCCAAGTTCCGGAAGAGCTATAGAGGCAGGGTCTGGGCTCTGATGTGGGCAGGATGGGCGCTGGTGCACATCGGACCTCACCGCTCACCCCCAAACCACGGAAACCCGCTGTCTGGGCCAAGTCCAGGGGCAGAGCCTCCGCGCCGGGGCCTGGGCAGGGAGGGAGCAGGGGTTGGCACGCAGGCTGTTTCCCCCCTCTGTCCCCTCCTGCCGCCTCTGGGCCACCTCAGATCTGCCAGTTGCCCCCTCCGAAGGCCTTGTCCATCACTTCCTGCCAGGCAGCTCCCACCTCTTTCTCTCCCCCTTGCTGCCAGCAGCCCCTCTCCTAATCCCCCAGTCCTGGAGTGCTCGCCCGAGGAGGGGGAGAAGCGGACAGGAGGCCGGGGTGCGGGGTGAACAGGGCACGGCTGGGGCAGTGCAGGGGCACGGAGGCCGCAGGCTCCCCTTGGGCTGCCCGGCAGCCGAGCTGGCAGGAGCCCAGCGGTGTTAGTCACCAGCACACCGACACCCTCCCTCTTCGCGCTCGTCCCCTTCTCCCCGGGCCAGCAGAGAGGGGCCCTGGCACAGGGGGCGTCTGGAGGGCAGGGCCCTCCCTGGGGCCGGGGCAGGTGGGGATGGCGGTGCGGGCTCAGGCCGGGGTGGCCCCAGCCCAGCTCCTGGCGGATGAACAGCTGTAGAGGAAGGCAAGAGATCTCCTGTAACCACCCCCAGTGTGGCTGCAGGGGCCCCCAGACCCTCTGCTGCTCCAGGCCCCTGCAGTGGTCCTCAGATGCCAGGGCTGGGTGGAGAGAGCGGCCTTCCTGGCGTGGGTTCCCCACCAACACCACCTCTGTCCCCCCCACTTCCCCGGTGCCCTGTGAGTGCTCCTGCCCCAGGCAGTCTGGGTAAGACCTGGGCCCTTGGCTGGGACGAAGCCCTCAGCGGGGAGCCGCACGTGCTGGGAAAAGGGTGCAACACTGTGGACAGTGCGTGCCTGCTGCCTGCACAGAACTGGGGGGCGTCAGTCCGAGTGGGGAGGACGATGAGAAAGGGAAGTGGGGCAGCTCAGGCTTAAGGTAAGGGCTTCCCAGGCAGGCGGCTCTGGGTTCAAGTCTGCGGCCCCTGCTCGTGGCGTGACCTTGGGCAGTCACTCGCCTCCATGAGCCGTGGGTTCCCCATCTGTAGAAGGGAGGTTGGCATTGTCCTCCCCAGGGCTGCTGGTGACAGGGGTGGAAGTAAGGGGCCTGGCCGTGGGGTGTTTGGGGACTGGGGTGTAGCAGAGGGAGAAGCCAAGGAGGGGGAGCCTGCGGTAGGAAGGGCCTGGACTGTGGCGGGCCCAAGAGGCTGGGCCGCCGTGGGCGCAGGGGCTGGGCCAGAAGATCTGGCAAAGGGGCCCTCGGAATCCGCAGATGGCAGGTGGCAGGGTCGAGATGTGGCCTCAGCTAGCCCAGCATGAGGGAGAGGCAGGGACTCCCCGAGATCCCTCTGTGCCCCCCGCCACCGGCAGGCACGGCAGAGGCCTCCAGAGGCACAGAGGTTGGGATGGGGCCTTTGCCTTTCGAGTCGGAGGGAGGAGGCAGGAGAGAGCGAGGCTGGCAGCTCCTGGCACAGGGTTCTGGGGCCCGAGGATGGAGCCCGTGTGGAGAGTTGCCCAGTGGGGACCTTCAGATCAGAGCGGGTTAGGGGTCTCCCAGCCCCTCTTCCCTGGGAGCCCAGCAGCCACCTCTGCACTGGCCCAACCCTCAGGAAGTCCGGGCTGCTGGGGCGTGGGGCCGGCAGAGTGCTTCGCCCTCCAGTGACCTCCAGACTCTGGCTCTCGGGGCGCAGGCGTCTCCTGGGGCCTGCTGGGGCGTCAGGTCCTCACGCAGCTAGGGGCTAGGGGTGTGAGGCTGATGGTGATGGTGTCGTGGGCCCGGAAGCCTGGGGGCTCTGCCAGCCAGTTCCTGGGCCAGGCGTCCCCATGCAAAGACGGAAGAAGTCAGCCTGCCGCCGACCTCCCCAGCAGTAAGGGAGCAAAGCTTTCGGGGAAAAGCGCCCAGCTGTGATGTGTTCCTGGCACAACAGTGATGGGGAGTGGTGGCACCCGCCTCCCTCGGGCAGCCCCCCACAGAGGCCAGGGCTGGGTGGGAGTCTCATCCCCATTTCACAGATGAGCCCCGCCGAGGCTCAGTGAGGAAAGGACTTGGACTTGGCCATGGAGCGGAGTCAAGGCCCGGGGCTCTGCTCCTGGTCCCAGGCGGCAGGCAGGCCCGCCTGGCATCCCAAGTTCACCTGGTCTTCCCTCTCCTTCTGGCTCTGCCGTGTGGGACGTTCTGATTTACGGCGTCCCTCTCTGAGCCAGGCCTGGCCAAACGCTCGCCTGCTGTTCTTGCTTCATCATCCCAGCAGCCCCATTGTACAGGTGAGCAAACACCTGCCCAAGGTCACCCAGCCAGGATGGAGGCGAGCTGGGTGGGATGTGTGCCACTCCAGGCCGCCTCCCTGCACTCCCCTCCTCTGGGGCTGGAATGGAGCTGGGCGGGGGCAAGGCTCCAAGCCCAGGCAGAGGCATGGGAGCGAGACTGGCGTGAGTCGGGTGTGTGGAGAGAGGCGAGGCAGGAGCTGCATGGGTGAGAGTCACAGTCTGTGGATTTTCCTGGTGGCCTTGGGAGGGTGGCCGGGCCTGAGAAATGGCTGTGTGGCCCACTGGGCTGCCCACTTAGGCCAAGATGCACCTGCCGGCCTCTCTCCCCTCTAGCCCAGGGCGTGGTGGGACTGGGTCCTTGGGGGCTGGAGAACAGGGGCAGGCAACCTCCTGGGCCTCTCTGCTCCTGGAACTGTGGGTGGGCTCGGGGTGACCGAGTGAGGCGTGGACCACCCAGCTCCCATCTCTCTCTGCTGCCCACATCAGCCATTCACTCTTGTGCCCGAGTGACAGGCTCAGTGCCAGGTAACGGGGACACAGCCGTGCACAAGACTGACCTGGTTCCAGCGCTCCCAGCACCCACAGTTCTCAATCCAGTGCGGTCAGGGCAAGGGGTGGAGGAAGAGCAGGAGCTGTGGGGACCCCGAGGAGGGCCAAGATCAGCCAGGACAGGCAAAGAGCCACGGAGGCGCCTGGGACTCGATGCAGTGCCGTCCCAGCTGGAATCAGGGGTGGCGTCAGAGTTCACGGTGGTGAGGGGTGGAGCGCCCCAGGCACAGGAGCCTCAAGGGCAGGCAGGGAGCCGGCGCCGCGGCTCACTAGGCTAATCCTCCACCTAGCGGCGCCGGCACACCGGGTTCTAGTCCCGGTCGGGGCGCCAGATTCTGTCCCCTCTTCCAGGCCAGCTCTCTGCTGTGGCCCGGGAGTGCAGTGGAGGATGGCCCAAGTGCTTGGGCCCTGCACCCCATGGGAGACCAGGAGAAGCACCTGGCTCCTGCCATCGGATCAGCGCAGTGCACCGGCTGCGGCGGCCATTGGAGGGTGAACCAACGGCAGATCTTTCTCTCTCTCTCTCTCTCTCACTGTCCACTCTGCCTGCCAAAAAAAAAAAAAAAAAGGGCAGGCAGGGGAGCAGTCTTGGTGCCCCCCTCCATGCTGGGAGGGTCCCCCACCCCATCCTGGGCTGGAGTTCAGGAAGGGGAGTAGGTACCCCCGCAGGCGCTGGGCCAGGAGACCTAAGTGTGTGTGTGCACGTGTTTATTGTATGTGTATGTTGGATTTGTGTTGTACATGTGTTGTGTTGTACGGTGTGTTTGGATTACGTATGTGTCACATGTTGCAAGTGTGGGATTGTGGCTCCGCACGCATGTTGTGCATTGTATGTTGCGTTCATGTCCCGTGTGTTGCATGCATGTCGGGTGTGTGCCTCCACATCCACCCCCGGCGACCGGATCCCCGCAGCAGCTCTGTGCCCGCGCTTGGTGGTGATGGGGAGCCCTGCTTCTGAGAGCCCAGGAACCCGAAAGTGGGAGCTGACCTGCGGTTCCCAGAGTCCAGGGTTTGTAGTGGCCGCAGGGGGCCACTGGTCAGGAGCCCAGGATCTCACACCCTGCCTCAGCCAACCAGGGAAAGGCCAGAGGCAGAGGGCGCGGGAGCCCAGGTGGCCCAAGCACCGCTGTTGTCCATCTTGGTCTCTCTGCGAGCTGGGCTGGCCTGCAGGCCGTGGGTGTGGGCACCAGGCAGGAAGGGTGAGGACAGTGAGCACCTCAGCCCCAGCCACCTTGCTGTGTGGCCCAGGACACACGGCTGCCCTCTCTGGGCCACAGCCCCTGGCCTGTGGTGAGGCCAGGCAGCTTAGCTGGGCGTCCTTGCCCCCACTGAGCCCAGGGTACAACTCCAAGGCGCAGAATCCTGTGGGCAGTTTCAAGGTCACAGCCCCCTAAGGCAAGGCCCAGCCTAGCCAACAACGGCCCTGACCTCGCGCTGGCTGGGCTGCCTGCTCAGGGCTTCAGTTTCTGTGTCTAGCGTGGGACAGCACTCCGTCTGCCTCTCCTTCCAAACACACACACACACACACACACACACACACACACGGAGCTCCCCTCTGCCTGCGGGAATCCCCCTAGGAGAACAGCGTGGACAAGGCCAAGGGACCCCCAGGCAGCTGGAGCTGGCGGACTGAGGCTCCCGCCTCCCCCATCCCCCAGAGGCCCTGCTCGGGCAGTGACCACTGGAACGGCAGCAGAGAAACAGGTGGAGTGGAGGGTTAGGACCTCCCCAACAGGTCCCCGGCATCTTTGTCCCCATATCATTCCGCCCATTTTACTGGGACTAAGACTGAAGCTGGACCAAGGTCATACATTGGGTTGCTTATTACTAGGCTCCCAGCCCAGTGCACTGCTCCCACTCCCAGCCACTCCACTCAGGCTTCAGTCACCCTGTGTACAAAAGGGGAGGGTCCCCCACATCTGATGCCTCCTGGGCCTGGTGGGGCCTCTCCATCTCACCCCTGTCTTCCCCCAAACCAGGAGGCCATCTGCTGAGCCATCCATTAGCTTGGAGCCACCGCTGCCATGGGGGCCTGTTGGCTGGGGGTGAAGGGCTGAGCTCTTGGGATGCATGGGAAGGGGGGATGGAGGAGGGAGCAGGAAGAAGCCTCAGGCAGCCGCTGCGTCTTCCCTGAACATGGTGGCCACCACACGGGGTCGTCGTGAGCACGCCAGGAGCCGCCATGGGAGCCTGGACCGCTCAGACCCCAGGGCGGTCACTGCAGGCCGCAGTGACCAGAGCTGCCGGCTCAGCCCACCCAGGGGTGCAGCCCTTGCATGTCTCGGGCCACCGAGGGCTGGCTCTCCGTGGATCTGCAGGCTGTGGGGAGTCTCGGATCCTGGGTGTCCAGGAAGGGGGCTGTTGAGACACACGTGAGGTCCCAGCCTGCTGTGCTCCCCACTTCCCCCGCAGAGATCCGAGAGGCCTTCAAGGTGTTTGACAGAGACGGCAATGGCTTCATCTCCAAGCAGGAGCTGGGCACGGCCATGCGTTCCCTGGGCTACATGCCCAACGAGGTGGAGCTGGAGGTGATCATCCAGCGGCTGGACATGGACGGTGAGCGCTGCCGCCTGCCTGTTTCGTCACCCCCCGCCCCCAAGCCCATGGCAGGTTACAGCCAGGTCTGGAGAGCGGAGGTCAGAGAGGGCGGGACAGCCTTGGGCAGACAAAGGGCTCAGAGACGGCTCCCCTCTGTTCTGAGAAAGTTTTAAAGTCCAGAAAGGGTGTAATCAGAGTTCCTCCCACTCCAAATCATTAATATTTGCATTTTATTATGGAAGGATTCCTAAAGAGGACTGGTAATGCCAGGTCCCCTCCGTGGCCTCCCCGCGCCCATGCAGAGAGCAGACGACAGGCTGGGCCGGTGCAGTGTCCTGGGTGTCAGTTCCTAGCTGTATGGCAGAGAGGCTGTTGGGTGCCACACTCACCCCGGGGGCAGCATCATGGAGCTAGGGAGCCATGGGTGGTTTGGCGTGGAGTGCGAGGGTCTCCCTGTGCCAGTGCCACCTTTCCTAGCAGGGCTGCAGCATCACCGCAGTGCCTGGCAGGTGTAAGGTGCCCTGAACTTGACTCCAGGCTCAGAGAAGGGCAGGATTCCACCCTTTGGTCCCTTGAGCTGTGCTGCCTGGGCTGGGTTTGAGTGTGAGCCACTGATCGAACCTGTGCCTGCTCCAGGCGACGGCCAAGTGGACTTTGAAGAGTTTGTGACCCTCCTGGGACCCAAGCTGTCCACCTCAGGGATCCCAGAGAAGTTCCACGGCACTGACTTTGATACCGTCTTCTGGAAGGTATGCCCTGGCTGGCTGGGACCCAGGGCTGTGCACTCCGTGGGGCCCTTCCGGGGTCATGGCCACATCAGGTTCCTGTCTACTGCACATCTGGCCTCCCGCAGGGCCATGAGCTCACTGGGGGAGGCTGGGGGAGGTCAAGGACTCTCGGGACGGGGAGCAAGCAGGTCTGGCTCATGCGGCTGCAGGGTGCGGGTGGGGCCTGTGGCGCAGTGGTGGTGGCTGGAGCGCCGTGTCTCCCCCGACCCCACCCAAGTGCGACATGCAGAAGCTGACAGTGGACGAGCTGAAGCGGCTGCTGTACGACACCTTCTGTGAGCACCTGTCCATGAAGGACATCGAGAACATCATCATGACAGAGGAGGAGAGCCACCTGGGCACGGCCGAGGAGTGCCCCGTGGACGTGGAGAGTGAGTGGCTGACCCCGGGGCCAGGGGGACGCAGCGGGGGCTGGTGGACCCTCCCCACCTGTCCCAAGCCTCCCCCAGGGGAGGGGGGGTGTCCTACATGCCGGCCCCTGATCCCATGGCTTCCCTGTCCCCTGTGTCTCTCCCTGGCTCTCCCGGTGGCGGCCACAGCCTGCTCCAACCAGCAGATCCGCCAGACGTGCGTGCGCAAGAGCTTGATCTGCGCCTTCGCCATCGCCTTCATCATCAGCGTCATGCTCATCGCGGCCAACCAGGTGCTGCGCAGCGGCATGAAGTAGGCGTCTCCTGGGCGCCCCTCCTGGCACATGCGGTTCCCCGGGCCCGCTCCGTGCCCACCTCCACCCGCAGCCCCCTCTGCAGCCGGCCTCCTGGGCCACCCTCTGTGTGTCCTTCGGGGCCCAGATGTCTGGGGCCCCCACCCCACTGGCCCCATGGGCCTTGCACGGAGCCATGGCCTGGCCGTGGAAGGCCTTGTGGGGGTCTGGGGACGGCCCCTAGTGCCCCCACACCCTGCCCGTGTTCCACCCTGGCCTGTATGTAGCGCTAACCCCTCCTGCTCTCCAGGGGCTCCTGGGAAACAGAGGGCCTTGTCCCCACCGGCGTCCTCTAGGCGAGAGGGGGTACCCTGTGCTCAGAGAGGGCAGCTGCCTGCCCAGGACTGCACAGCCAACCCCAGCCCAGGCCCTGAGGCTTGCCCGAGGCTGAGGGCAGGGCGGAGGAAGTGGGGGCAACGCCCCCTCTCCTGGAGGGCATGAGGCCAGGGTCTTTGGCCCTGATCCCTGCCGTGGCCTGAGGGGGCCCCTGGTCTCCTCCCAGGTCCCTTCCTTAGACCCACGTGCAGCCATCCTCCTCCTCCACATGCCTGCTCGGGCCACACCCAGCCCATTTCCCAGGTGAGGAGACTGAGGCTCAGGAAGCCTGGAATCGGGCCTCAGTTCCCGCTTCCGCAGTGGGTCAGGAAGGGCACACGGACACCTGAGGGGGCCCTCCACCAGAGGCCCAGCCGTGCAGGGCCACCTCACCGCCGGCACAGGATCTAGAGCCGTGGTCCAGCTGAGGGAGGCGGGGCTGGGCCTGACAGCCCTGCGGCCCCCCTGCTGCCCCGGGCTGTTGGGGTGGAAGCTCGGGGGCCCCTGGGTGGAGAAACTGGCACAGCCCAGCACTGGCAGTGCCACGCAGCCCAGCCAGGCCCTCGCCCAAGCCCAGGGCCTACCCTCCAGGTCCCCCCACGGCTTTGCACCTCAAGACCGGAGACCCAGCTCCCAGCCTGTTCCACCTGCCTGGCACAGGCAGACGTGGGGGCTGCGTGGGTGGCAGGTGGTCCTTGGGCTCCTCCCCCGGGGCTGGGGCCACGTCTCTCCCGGGCGACGGGCACAGCCACACTGGGGCACCCTGTGCCCAGCCAGGCTGAGCCTCTGCTGCCCCTGAGAGAGGGGCGGGATTTGCACCCCCTGGCCCCTGGACAGGCTCCCGTCTGTTCCAGCCCCGCTGTCCTCAGCCGGGGGCTGGAGAGTGGGGCTCGCACGGCCAGACCACACGGGACACACGTCTTCATCAACCTCCAGAAGTGTCTCAGCCGCCCTCTGATGACGTCGGGGGGGTTGCCCGACAGCCGCACAGAACCTGGACCGGGCCGCGGCCTCGAGTGGTCTGGGGCTCCGTGGGCGCAGCAGGAAGTCTCAGCCTCTCCAGTCCTGACCCATGTCTTTATTCTGACGGATGACAGCCAGCAGGGAGTGGGGGGCGCAGGCAGGGGAAGGGGCTAGCCCCACTGCACTCTGGGCTGCAGGGGCCACCCTCCAGGTGGGGGTGCCCGCAGGGAGGGGGGCAGTTCCTGGACCGGAGGCCAGCCCATGGGGTACTGGAAGACGGTGGCTCTGATGGGTTCAGCCCTAGAGAGAGGAGGAGAGGAGAGCGTTACTGCGGGGCGGCCTGGCGCGGCCTGCCTGACCCTCCTGGACACAGAGCCTTTGAGGCAGCAGCCCCTCCCCCAGGACTGAGCCCCAGGCCATGGTGGGGGTGGAGGCGGCCTTGAGGGGACGGAAGTAGCCCTGGTGTCCCACTGTGGGCACCGACACACATGCACGCGCACAGCAATGTTACCCAGCCTGCAGCAAACCGAGGCAGGCGTGTACGCACTGACGAACAGACATGCCATGTGAGTAGGGAAAAAAGCAGCTTATAAAATAATGTATATAGCATGATACTATTTTTCTTTAAAGATATATAACATATATAAAGGCATAAAGAAAAAAAAAAACCCTGGAAGTCATGGCGAAATGTTAGCAGTGGTTCTATCTGAGTGATGCAATGATGAGTGATTTTTTTTTTACTTTATACTTTTCAAAAGTTTTACAAGCACGCAAGCCTTTGATATCAGAAAAAAATATTATCTAAAATTTTTGCTAAACAGCCTCATTTCTCATGCTGCTCTCCTCAGTGCCCGAGTCCCTGCCCCCCAAAGCTCAGGGCCCATTTAAAGCCCAACCCTGGGCTCCCTGTGGGAGCTGACCCAGGCCTGGTGGGACAGAGGCAGCCTCCCCCTCGCCTCCTAACCTGCTCCACACTCGGCCCCGCTCCTCTCCAGAGTGCGGTGTCTCCCAGGCTATGAACTCTCAACTCCCCCAGGGGGCTCATCTGTCCCCCTCCCCCATGGGAGACAGAGGGTAGAGAGTGGGTAGGGCTAGGGTCTCTCTGGCCCCCCGCAGTGGGTGCTGAGTGACCCACAGCAGTGCCGGGAGCTCCTGCAGACCAGCACTGCCCTGGGCCACACACCACGGCCTCGAGAATCTCAGGAATCCTCATGTGAACCCCATGCATACATGAGACCACCGTGCTGCGAGGAGTGGGTCGTTGAGTCCAAGTGACGCAAGGGCTGGGGTGCAGCCTAGCCAGGGGCTGCAGACACTGCCCCCGCTTCAGGTCCCCCTGCTCCAGCAGCCCCCAGCTGCATCCCGCCTGGCCCCCCCAACCCAGCCTTCGGGGCAGGTGAGGCCCTGGCAGCCCTGGGCGCGCTCTGAGCCCTGAACTTTACCTCGCCGCACCCACCCAGCCTCCCCTAGCTGGGCCTGAACCCCTGTAGAGAATCGAGGACTTCAGGGCGCCCGAGGCTGCCCCTGGGGCTCCCGCTGCGTGTGAGGACGGGGACATCCCTGGCCAGATGGATTGCTGCCGGCTGGAGGGCGCGGAGAGCAGCCCTTGGCGTGATTGATGGCTCTGGGGAGGCTTCATAAACTCCTTCTCCCGCAGAGAAGGGTGGGAGTAGGGGAGGCTGTGCGGTTGGGGAGGGAGCGCCCCGGCCGCCCGCCAAGCCTGCGCTCCCCCAGGGAGGCTGCGATCCGGGTGAGCCCCTTTCTCTGAGCCTCGGGCCCTTCATCCAGCAAAAGAACGGGCAGATTCGTGGGCAGTGGGGACCTAGCTACTGAGTCCAAGGCTCAGCCCAGTGTCCCTGCCCACCCTGAGGCCCTCCGACAGGATGCAGGCATTCCCTCATCCCTGGGGTTTGCTCACGGACCCGGGCACCTTTCCAGGGCCCTCCGCAGCCCCACAGCCCAGCTCTCTGGCCCCTACACAGGGCAAACAGGTGCACAGGTCCGCGCGTGGCGGGCTCTGCCTGTGGCGTGGGCTGTCTGCCTGGTACACAGGGACAGGCGTCCTCCCTGGCACTATCCTAGCTGTGGTCCTCATCCAGAGGAAATAGAGACTTAGGTGGTGCCTGGGCTGGAACAGTGGCACTGGGCCAGGGGGGGCGCCGAGGGGAGATTAAGAGGGATAAAGTGACAATCTGAAGAGCCAACAGGACGCAGGGACAAGCACCGGCCGCCCAGGGGATTAGGCTGCGTGTCTGAGGCCGCCTCTCCCTCCCGCCGTCTGCTCCTGGCAGATCCCTCAGGGTCAATCTGCCCGGCGGGGCGCGGCGGGGTGGGGGATGAGCCTGCACCGCCAGGCTGGGGAAACAGGAGCTCCACACCCCCATGCTTACAACAGCCCAGGGTGCACCGCGAGGGACACAGAGGTCGGAGGTGAGAGGTGAGAAAGTGCTGCCTGCGGGCGGGGAAGGCAGCAGGAGGCTCCCGGAGGCCCTGCGACCTGGGCAGCCGTGGCAAGGTCAAGAATAAATGGCCACGTCCCCTTGCAACAGCCCCTTTTTCTGAAGACCAGATGGGCCTGCGTGGCCTGAGAGGCATTCGCTTTGGCTCCAAGCCCTCAGGAGGCAGGTGGACAGGCGGTGGGCGCAGAGAAGTGACTGCCAAGAGCAGGTCCCCGGAAGGCCCACATTGGGTGCCCAGAGGGATAGCAGCCTGGGGGCGGGGGCAGGGGAGGCCCTCAGAGCCTTGCATGGGGTCCCATTGCGGGCTCCACTCCACAAAGCCCCTGCTACTTCCAGTCCGTGGCTGGTGGGCCCCTTGGCCACTCCTGAATGTGGTGAGAGGCGGCCCAGGATCCTGACACGGAGCAGGGGCCTCGCTCCCCTCCAAGTGATGGCCAAGGCAGCCCGTGCGTGGCCCAGATGAGCTCAGTGGCAAAACGGGGGCACCGACCTCCTGCAAGCTCAGGCCAAGGGCAGGAAGCACACCACAGGGGCCAAATCGGGTGGTCGCCACCTCGACCTGTGACTTGGGGCCACTCGTTCTGCCTCAGTCTCCCCACCTGATCCCCTAGTGCTCGGGGTCTCATGTTCACAGCACACTGCATCAGCGCTGGGGCACATGCACAGGGTGCCCCGAGCCCTCCGCACAGCCCCGAGCGGTACCCGGGGCTGTCCCTCACTCCAGTGGAGAAGCACGTGGAGCCAGAGCAGGGAGGGGAGTGCTACTGTGAGGGCAGAGGCCCAAGGGGACCCATGCGGGGGGGGGGGGGTCCAAGGAGGGTGCAGGGGAAAGGCTGCACGGACGGGGCTCAGGAGAGCAGGGACGGGATCCCCGGATGGTCTCAAGCAGGCACCCACGTGCCCAAAGCCACATCTCCTTCAATGGACCACGAGGAAGGGACATCGCTCGAACATGTGGGTCGTTGTCCGGACCACAGGTAGTTAAGGGGGCGGGGAACAAAAAGCAGGCACAGACGTAAAGCAAAGGTAAATGACAAGACAACGTAATTTGAAAGGATCTTCACCTCTTTTCACCCAGCACTCACAGAAAGCAAGGAACTTGGCCTTCACTGACCGGCAGAGCCCCGAGGGAAAGCCTCACCCCCCCAGCCCAGGCCAGGCCCCTCTCCCATTAGGCCATGGCACAGAGGCAGCTGCCCGTTCTGAGATGGGCCAGGAGGTGGCCCAGGCAGCTGAGACCACGTCCTTGAGCCCCTTTCCTGCCCCCGTCTCCTTCAACACTTGGTGGCAAAGCCAGAGCCCTGCTTTGGCTCAGGCTATGACCTATGTGGCCTGCAGCCACCCCAGCCTGAGCCTGCGCCATGGTGTGCTGACCCTGGTGTGGGCTGCACCTGCCCAAGGGTGCTGACCCTCACAAGTTCTGAGGGCTCCCCATCCATGTCTGAGCATCCTGAGTGCTGGGCCCACCCCAGAGCCCTTCCTTGGGGAGGCATGGGGGACAATGACCTTAACACACCCCTGTGTGGTCCTGGTTCTGACTCCCCCTGCCTGTGTGCCCTCGGCAAGTTGCACCCCTCCTGTGGCCTCAGTTTCCCTTCCAGCAGGGTCCTAGAGGGGACAGTGGGGGCAGGTCCATCGTGACTGGCACACTGGGGGCATGGTAGCCATCACTCAAGCCCCTCCCTCCAGCAGTGGACTTGGTGACACGGAGTCAGATCCACTTGGCCTCACACCTTCAGCCAGCACAGACTCCAGTGAGGGGCTGAGCCTCTACAGGAAGGGGTGGGGCCTGTGAGCAGGCCTGTGACCACAGCTGGTCAGGGCCTGGGAACGCACGGGCCTCCAACGTGGCCTCACCCTCAGGGGGAGGGGCTGTGTCTACCCCCAGTGCTGGGAGCAGATGACGGAGACTCCTGAGCTCTGGGAAGGCAGGTGGCCAGGGTCTCCCTCCTGGGGCTGTGGATGAAGGGGCCCAGGGTCTGTACCTGCTGCTCGGAGCGGAGCTCAGCTGCTTGGCCCTCTTCTCCAGCCAGTCCTCCAGATGGCCCTCTGGGAGCTCAGGCGGGTCCAGCGGCCACTCCCTGGCCCGCCTCTCCTCTGCAGGGGACAGAGAGACAAAGGTGGGGAGGGGTACACTCCTGCTGCTGAACCCCGTCCTCCCCTGAAGCAGCAGGGCCAGCAGCCGAGACCTTGCAGCCACCTCTGGCAGGGCCACCAGCTTGTCCCCACCAAGCCCCCAGCTCCCCAGGCTCTCTGTGCATCACAGCCCAGCGCTCCGGGCCTCACTCCGCCTGCCTTCAAATGCAGACAACGCTTAGGGCTGTCTCCTAGGCTTTGGGGAGCTGGAGGACAACCATGGGAGCAAGGAACCTGACGTGGCGTGGTGGGGTTGGGGTTGGGGGGCGAGTAGGTTCAGGGAGGCAGCGTGGACTCTAGAGCAGGGATGGGCCTGGCTCCTGGCAGGGTGATGAGCCTCCGTGTACCTGGCTGCCATTTTCATACGACGTCCTATGAACGCTCACTCAAAACCAAGCAACGAGCAGAGTTCATGCCAGCAGGGTGTGCACATCTGACGGGCTCAGCAATTCTGGGTGTCTGGGCTGGAGGCTTGGGCCAGAGGAAAACAGCCGTACCCGTGGGCCCATGCTCGCTTGGGGCCTGGTGCGGGGCTAGTGCTGCCCAGGGTCCCCTCGCTTCCTCTTCCCAAGCGGGCATGTCACAGGACGCTGGCAGGGTGAGGCTGCCACAGCTGCCGCCCGGCCCAATCTCTGCTCCCAACCTGCTCTGACTTCTTCCCGTCTCCCCCAGATGCTGCCTCTGGCTCTCGGTCCTCTGGCTTGAGCCGTCCCCACCACCATGGGCCAACTGTTCCCCGAGAGTCCTCAGCCAGCGAAGAGAGAGACGCCGCTGCTGCCAGGACTCGCTGGCCGGCCCCATGGGGCCTCACCTCGCCCTGGGAAAGCTCCTGGAAACCCTGCGTTGGTGCCAGGGCAGCAGCCACAGCACCATCAGCTCCCCAGGGCAGGGCACAGAACTCCCGGGGTCCAACTGCGCAGTGGTGAGGGAGGCGCACTGGGGACAAGGGCCAAGGCCTCACTTCCCCAGGCCCTCATTGGCTGCCAAGGGCACCTGACAAGAGGGGGCAGCTGTGGCACTCTGGGAGACCCCGGTCCACCCCTAACTCGCTGGGGGCGCTCACACGAGGCCCCTTTGCCTGGGTGCTGGCCTCAGCAGCACCTGTCCACTGAGGGGCGGTGGGAGGTCAGTCAAGTTTCTAAGAGGAAGTTTCCTGGTTCCTTGTTCTTTGATTGGGGAGTGAGAAGTGAATTTCCCAGAGGCACATGGGCCAGGTACCATGGAAGCTGCACTGGCTCTTCCCTGAAAGCCCCAGGCTGTGAGGACAGGCAGGGGCCTTCTTCCTCCTTGTGTCCCCAGAGCCTTGCAGGGACTCAGAGAGTCGCCTGATTGAGGTGGGGAGGAAGAGAGGGAGAGTGGGAGGGCGGGCGCCCGCAAACCACACCAGGCCAGCTGTGCCCACTTCCAGGGCACCCAGCCTGCTTCCTTCTCTGCCCATGTGTAGAGCAAGCCGATACCCACCCAAACCAAGGGCTCAGGGCTCCCCCTGGCTGGCCCCACATGGCGACTACTAATGAGGAAGAGGTAGGGAGGCATGTGACATCCCACCCCACCCCCACCCCCCGTCTCAAATTCCTCACCTCCCCAGTCCCCCACTCCCGCCATGCCAGGGTACCGCAAGACTCACCCTCCACCCGGATGCTCAGCTCCTGCAGGTCTCGCTCCGACATGTGGGAAAATCTGCAGTTGGAGCCGAAGTCACACTGGCCTGCAGAGGAAGACAGAGCTGCTCAGCGCGCAGGGCTGGGGGCACCGTGACGACGGGTCCCAGGGTTTTAAGGATGGGCTTTAGGACCTAAGGAGTAGCAAACCCTTTCCTGAACAAACGGAAAAACACCCCTCTCCTAATGCACCTGGGAAGCACAGATGATGGCCCAAGGGCTTGGGCCTCTGCCACCCATGTGGGAGACCCGGATGGAGTTCCAGGCTCCTGGTTTTGACCTGGTCCAGCCCTGGCTGTTGCAGGCATTTGGGGAGTGAGCCAGAGGATGGAAGATCTCTCTCTCTCTTTCTCTCTCTCTCTTAGAAATAAATGCTTTTTAAAAAGTTGGACTTTCTCTGGCCCTGCCCTGCTCAGCGGCCAGCAGGCTGCCCACCCCATCACACCCTGCTCACCAGCCTTGCTGGCGGCTGTCCGTGCTGGAGGTCAGATAACTGAGGGCTGTGTCGAGTGGGCTCCAAAGGCATGGCCTTCAGGACCAGCCCTTCCCCCCTCAATAAAGCACAGGTGCGTTCCTGAAGGGCTTTCATTCCCTCCTCCAGTCCAGGCCACAGCACCTGCTGAGCCTCCACCTGGTGCGCCGGGCGCACGGCCTGTGTGAGCAGTGGGCCGCTCCTCAGAAAGTGCCGGAGCAGTGGCAGCCGTGCAGAGGGGCAGAGGAGGAGCCAAAGGCCAGGCAGCTCCCAGTCTCAACCCAGGAGACCAAAGCATTTCTTGGGATGGAGGGAGATGCGGGGTCCTGGTGAGCGCAGCCTAGCTGCGGCGTATCTACGTCAAGGTCAGGTCTGTGAGGAAGCCCCTGACCTGCAGAGCTGATGTCTGTGGTGGGGGCGGCAGTGTCTCCGCCCACCCAGCCTTCCCTGACTCATCAGTAAGACCGCTCCCAGTGCTAAGCTCCTTTACAAACCTCGTGACTCTTCATGGTTTTCCTGTTTGTCTTGGCTGCCAGGAAGCTCAGAGTCAAACCCAAAGGGGTACACAAGACCTCGAGGGCAAGCACGGAGGAGACTGGTTATTCTCCTGGCTTTACCTTATGTTTCCTTCAACATCTTAATTTATTTATTCATTTTTATGTATTTAAATGGCAGAGAGGCAGAGACAGAAATCATCCATCATCTGGTTTACCCACAAATACCTACAACAGCCGGGGCTGGGCCAGGCCAAAGCTGGGACCTTGAAATTCTACCTGGATGACAGGGACCCAAGCACTTGAACCATCAGGTGCCGCCTCCCAGGGCCTGCGCCGGCAGGAAGCTGGAGTCAGGAGCCAGAGCTGGGAAAGGAACCTGGGACTCTGACGTGCGATGTGGGTGTCTCAACAGCCAGGCCAAATGCCTGCCCCACATGGATCTCTGTTAGCCGCGTATCGAGCAAATAAAAATCTAGCGTCCACTTTTTGGAACCTGAACTCCCCCAGATCTTCAGCCCTGCCTCTCTAGGAGGCCCTGCAGGAGGTCGGGCTGTCAGGCCCATTTGGTCAGCCAGGCAGTACAGCCAGCAGCGTCCCTTGGCTTCACCTGCAACCTCCAGTGCTTGCTGGGTCTAGGGGAGCCAATAAAACCACTTCCTAGGTTGGAATAGCTAAGGACCAGGCCTGAAAGTGTCAAGGCATGACCCGAGGGAAGGCCCAAGTGACCAGTGAGCCAGCTCAGGCTGCAGGGTGGGCTGGGGATGGTGGCCAGGCCTAGGTCAGTCACTCTGCAGAGGTCCACGCAGGCCCCACGGGGCACTGCTGGTCCCCGAGGGGACCTGAGCTGAGCCAAGTGCCTTACCTGTGAGCAGGAACTTCCTGCAGGGCCGCTTGTTCTGCTCGTCCAGCAAGATGGCGGCTGCATCTGTGAGAGGAGGGAGGGGTGGGGTTTGATCAGCTTGCCTGAGGGAAGTGGGAGGTGGAACACGCGGGGGCATGGACTTCAGAGGGATACAGGCTTAGACCAAAGAGCTCCCTGCCTATGGGGGAGTATAGCTGGGCACAACCACAGGTGGGGAGGCTGGACGGAGGGATTCCGGTCTCAGGTGCCTCCAACCCTTCCTGCCCCACCCAGCACTTGCCAAAGGGAGAGGGAGAGACAGAGATCGTCCATCCACTGGTCCACTTCCCAGATGGCCACAATGCTGGCGTTGGGCCAGCCCAAACCCTGCAGCCTGGAGCCTGGCACTCCAGCCAGGCTCAAACTGGCGCCCATATGGGATGCCAGCATCACAGACAGAGGTTTAACCCCCTGCACCATAATGTCTGTCCCAACCTGGGGAGTTTTTAAAAAAGATTTCAGCACCATAGATCTGGCTCCACTTCCGACTAGCTCCCTGCTAATGTGCCTGGGAAAGCAGCAGAAGATGGCCCGAGTGCTTGCGCCCCTACACACTCACAGGAAACCAGGATGAAGCTCCTGGCTTCTGGCTTTGGCCTGGTCCAGTCCCCATTGTTGCAGCCATTTGGAGAGTGAATCAAAGGATGGAAGATCTCTCTCTCTCTCTCTCTCTCTCTCTCTCTCGGTAACTCTCCTTTCAAATAAATAAATCTTTAAAAAACACAGGAATCCTGGTGCCCAGTCGCAGGGTCCAGTCTTGCTGTAAAGGGCACCATGGGCTGGGAGGGCACAGAGGTGTTGCCCAGGGCCCTGAGGCTAGGACGGCTGAGGTGGGCAGGGGGCTGGGCCTGAGTCCTATACAAGGGGCCCTGGCTGAGCTGCCCAGCATCTGGCTGGGGTGGGGGGGTCTTCACCCCTGCCACACTTGAGAATTGCCGGGCAGCTGTTCAAGGACATGGACACGCAGGCCTCTCTGGGCCCCTTCCAGCTGTACTCTGTTGGAGGGAGACAGTGTCAGAATCACTCAAAGCTCTGAAGGGCACCCAGGATTGAGAAGCCCAGGCCCTGCCCAAAGGAGCCTGCGCACCTGCACCTGCTATTTAAGGCTCCCTGTGATCTCACCCTGTTGGCCCTTCTCGCTTCATCTCCCTAAATTAACAGCTGCCCCTGCTGCCCCGCGTTTGTTTGCTCACTCATTTAGACGTTTAGCTACCAAACATTCACAGAGCACGCCCTGTGTGCCAGGCACCACGCCAGGACGAGGATTGAAGTGGAGAACAAGTCCGAGCGGGCCCTGCCTTCCAGTCCAGCAGCCACACCACCCTACGTGGATATAAACTGGGTAAACACGGTGCCCGCGGCGGAGGGCCTGACCTGGCCCCTGGGGTCGGGAAGGGCGTCCCCAGAACTCTGCTGGAGCTGGGCTCTGACATGGGGCCCTGTCTTGGGGCAGGGAGGCCAGGCTCACACAGGGCACAGTACGCAAGCTGGGAGTGCTGGGGTCAGGGCTGGGAGGGGGAGGCCAGCAGAGCACGGAGCCCTGGGTAGGAGGGGCTCCATCAGAGTCCACCGTGACACCCGCACCAAGTCGCTTAGGAAGGAGGCCCTGCTGTCTTCACCTTGGAATCTCAGAGCTTGTCTGGAGGCCGAGGACACACTCGCCTAGCACTGGCTGAATGAATGAGCGCTGAGACGCGGGACAAAGGGCCTGTGGCCAATCCCTCTGGGCACCCACGGACATTATTCCTATTGAGCAACCCCTTCGCTGGCAAACAGCAAGGAGATGGCTGAGCCTTTGTCACATCCCCAGGAGGAGGCGCTGTTGGGACGGCTGTTTCACACACAGCAGGGTTAGACAGACGTCTCAGGGCTGATGCTCGGGCCGCCGGTTCTGGGGCCCGCACTTGTCCTCAACACAGGCCCACTCCCTTCTCGCGAATTCTGAGTCTCAGACCGGGGGACTCTCGGCCTCCCCTTCTCTCTTCTTGGCTGGGGGACTCAGTGCCCTCCTCCTGGGCCCTGGGCCCTGTCCTGGAATCCTGCTCTCCAGCCTGAGATGCATTGGCCCACCCGGCTCATTCCAGGGGCTCCAGGTCCCTGTGGCCCCACTACCCTTGTCCCTGCAAGGCTCCTCCTGCTGGGCCACACTCTGGCCCCTTACTGCCTAGTGACAGCAGGCCGTGCAGCACCACACTGTCCCTCCACAGGCCCCACGCTGGGTGCTGCTGACCTCAGCTCATTCACCCGGCCACACCTGCTCCCAGAAGCCTTTCCCAGAAGGGCCCTCCCTCTTCCTTTCTTTCCCTCCCTCCCTCCAGCCAGTCATTCAACAGCCAGTCACCTGCCAATGTCAAAGGTGGGCCTGGCTGTGCCAGCCACTGCTCTTGACAATGCACGCTCCACGCTGTGGCCTCCACAGACCTGAAGGGATCCACTCCCTGCTGTGAGCCCCTACCATTCTCCCCAGGAACACCTGCTGCCTTGCTCAGGGCGACCTGATTCCGTGCAAGCCCTCAAACATCGCGCACTTGGTGAGGCCTCCTTCCCGTCTGGTCCTCCCAGGTGGGCTTCGGTCAAGGCCGCCAGCCCCTCCAGGGGCCCGTGTGCCCCCGCGGCAGCAGCCAGGCCTCCTCCTCCTTTGATCCCTACAGAGCCCAGGCCCAGGCTGGGAGAGCCAGATGTCCTCCGTCTGAGGACGGGGCAGAGTCGGGGCTGGCGCGCACCCACCTCGGAACATGTCGTACCACAGCTTCTTGGCCTTGAGGTGCTGCAGCCCGTTCAGGTGCTTCTTTCGATTGTGGAGGTTGTCCTGGAAGGAGCGGTCGCAGTAGTCGCAGAAGTATCGCTTCCCCATGGCTGCCTGGGAGCCGCAAAGCACTGGGTCAGACCGCACGGAGAAGGTCATGCGCCAAGCCAGCGGCGCCCACAGGGGGCCAGCCTCCACCAAGGCTCCCCCCCTGCCCCCGCCTCCAGGATGAACTTTCCCGGCAGGCCACAGGGCCCGGGATGCCTTATTCCAGAGAAACGCCTGGTGCCCAGCCCCCACCCAGCTGAAGCAGAATGGTGGAGGGGGTGGAGGGGGTGGAGGTTGACACTGGTGTGTTTTAGGGCTCACGGGGAATTCTAATAGGCAGCTAGGTTGGAGAAGCACCACTTCCGGTCCTGTGGTGGACTCCCTGGTCCAGGCCACACCTCTGACCTGCGCGACCCATGTTCTGCCTGTGCCAACCACACTAGCTTCCTCTCTGCTCCTCGCCTGTGCCAGGCACACAGCCACCTCCCTGCATTTGCACCTGCTGTTCTCTTGGCCTGGTGTTCCCCACAGATACCTGCCACACTTGCTCACTTGACTCCTTCGATCTCTGCTCTGATGCTACCATCTCGGTAATCTACTGTGAAAACTTGATTTCTACTGCAGAACCCAGGGCCGCCGCTGTGGCGCAGCGGGTTAAGCTGCTGCCTGTGATGCCTGCATCTCACATCAGAGAGCCGGTTCAAGTCCTGGACGCTCCACTTCTAACCCAGCTCCCTGCTAATGCACCTGGAAAGGCAGTGGACATGGCCCAAGTGCTTGGGCCCCTGCCACCCAATGTGGGAGACCAGGATGGAGTTCCAGGATCCAGGCTTTGGCCTGGCCCCGCCCTTGCTGTTGCAGCCATTTGGGGAGTGAACCACTAAATGGAAGATCAATATCTCTCTCTGTTGCTCTACCTTTGAAATAAATAAGTATTTAAAAAAACAAAACAACAAAAAACTAGATCAATAACAAAAACAGTGTTTGGTATACAGTAGGCAGTCAAGTATTTGTACAATAAATGAATTATTTCCTATTTTCCTTTTGGGACAGCAGGTTGAGCCAGGGGACGTGATTTGCCGAAGGGCACACAGCTGGTGACTGAACACAAACCCAGGACCACTGCTGGGTGTCATTTTGCCGGGTGTCTGTCTCCCACAGCAGCTCAGGGCTTAGAGACGTCGGAGGCCTCTGAAAGCCATCGCCAACATCTTCCCTAGGAGGCTTCTACACTCTCGGGCAGCAGGTCCTCGGCCAGTCTCAGGGGGAAACGAGAACATTTAAGACCCCTTAGCCATGGCGACCAAGCCACCAACCCTGAGCCAGGGACTCTGCAGTGCAAGGTGGGTGGCAACGACTCTCACGGCCAGCCCTCGGGTCTTCCTGTTTAGGGCCCCCAGACCACGGGAAGAACCAGAGTACTTGGGGCCACCACGTGGGATCTGCAGAGGCTGAGCCCAGACCTGCCCCTCGTCCCGTGCTCTGATCCTTCCCTTCAGACGGCAGGCTCCTGGGGCCCAGGGGAGGGAGGGCAGTGAGCCCCCCAAGGTCACAAGGCAGGGGTGCATCTCGGGAGGAAAAAACCGGGGAGAGATGCAGAGACAAACAAGCAGCCCGGGCAGTCGAGGGTTTATGGAGAAAGTCACTCCTGCGGCAGACAGGGACAGCTGCCGTTAAGTCGGGGCTGTAACGGGATCAGGAACAGCCAGTCATTCGAAATGAAAACGTATAAAACCTCTCTGCTCCTGTGACTGCTGAGAAACCGTGTCCCAGACACGCAGACTTGATATATTAAATTTGGCAGATCTAATACACCCTGTCTTGCCAATAAACTTATAGGGATTGGATTGAAATTGTAAGAGACGAACGTTTAACAGCCGAGTGCTTAACCAAGCCATTCACGGAGCCCGAAGCTCCGGGGAGCTGCGGGCTCTGGAGAGGGATGAGAAGGGGAGGGGCAGAGGTGGGGGGTCCCTTGGGGACAGCGACACAGAACGGCGGCTGTGAGGCAGCCGTGGCTGGACCAACTCACACAGGCCCCGAGAAGCACCTCCCCTCTCTGGGCCTCTGATGAGGAGAGTACTGCAGGGAAGTCTGCACATGCAAATGGTAAAAATGACACTGACAATGTCCAGCACTGGGCACGTGTTCAAGAAATGGGACCTGGGCCGGCGCCGTGGCTCACTAGGCTAATCCTCCACCTAGCGGCGCCGGCACACCGGGTTCTAGTCCCGGTTGGGGCGCTGCATTCTGTCCTGGTTGCCCCTCTTCCAGGCCAGCTCTCTGCTGTGGCCAGGGAGTGCAGTGGAGGATGGCCCAGGTGCTTGGGCCCTGCACCCCATGGGAGACCAGGAAAAGCACCTGGCTCCTGGCTCCTGCCATCGGATCAGCGCGGTGCGCCGGCCGCGGCGGCCATTGGAGGGTGAATCAATGGCAAAGGAAGACCTTTCTCTCTGTCTCTCTCTCTCACTGTCCACTCTGCCTGTCCAAAAAAAAAAAAAAAAAAAAAAAAAAAAAGAAATGGGACCTATTATCAGAGTGTCCACCATGTGCTAGCACTGGGTTGGAAGCTTTACACACATCGTCTCATTAAAAATTTTATTTTTTTTTTGGGCCAGCGCTGTGGCTCACTTGGTTAATCCTCTGCCTGCGGTGCCAGCATCCCATAGGAGCACCAGGTTCTAGTCCCGGTTGCTCCTCTTCCATTGCAGCTCTCTGCTGTGGCCCGGGAAGGTAGTGGAGGATGGCCCAAGTGTTTGGGCCTTGTGCCCGCATGGGAGACCAGGAGGAAGCACCTGGCTCCTGGCTTTGAAACAGCGTAGCTCTGGCCGTAGCAGCCATTTGGGGGATGAACCAATGGAAGGAAGACCTTTCTCTCTGTTTCTTTCTCTTTTACTGTCTAACTTTGTCAAATAAATTAAAAAAAATTATTTTTGAGAGGCAGAGAGAGAGAGAACAGCACTCCCACCCAATGGTTCACTCCTCAACTCCTTAAATGACAACTGGGACTGGGCTGGGGCCAGAGCCAGGAGCTGGGAACCCAATCCAGGCCTCCCACACAGGAGGTAGGAACCCAATCTCTGGAGCTATCCGCATTGTCTCGCAGGGTCCGGGCTGACAGCTGGAGTCACACGGGCAACCCATCGCGGGACACAGGCGTCTTGACCGTGAAGCCTCATGTCTGCCCACGTTGCCTCATCTAATTCTCAAGACAGCCTGGGGTGGAGCCCATGGCACTTTTTCAGATGAGGTCACTGGGACTCTGAGAAGTGAAATGCCATGGTCAAGGTCATGTGGCTACAGGAAGCAGTCAAGCTGGGCTTCCAATCTCAGCGGCAGGGCTGTGGATCTCCCACTCCTAATCCCTTAACCAAAGTCTGCTGATACAGTTTAACAGTCACTCGTGACACCCCTGGGACCATGCCGGCCTCTGTGAACCCAAAGAGGTACGTCCTATGATCCCACGTACAAACTAGGAAGCTGGGACTCAGAGGTGTGCCCCAGGTCACACACGTAGGATGGGCAGAGCAGGTCCCAGGGTGCCTGGGGCTCAGCTCCATCGGGAAAGCCCATGGTCACCGTCAAACACCAACCCACAGGAGGTCAGACCATGTGACCTGTGTGTGGGGAAACCAGTGACGGCTTCATCCACATCCTTGCCTGCTCAACCTCAGCTCCCGCCCACGCCCTCCTGCCCACCCCTAACATGGCAGGTGGGAAGGGCGTGACCATCCTAGGTGGGTTGACAGACCCTGATCTCAGTCCCAGTGCTGCCAGGGGAGGCTGTGGCCTCAGGTCCCCCACGTGTGAAGCAGTAGGACCAGATGATCGCCAAAGGCCTCTGTAGGTGAGAAGGCACTTGCCATGGTGCCTCTCACCCACCGTCGCAGACGCACGCTCAGGGCTCAGGCCAGGGAGAAGGCGGGCGGCACGGGGCATGCATGCTCACGGAGCACCTCCTGCAGAGCCACAGCCCAGGCTCCTGACCCGCCTGCCGCGGCGCTGGGCCTTTGCGCACGACACAGAAAGGGCCCTGCAGACTCCTCTGGAGAGACACAGCACCCCGCCACACACAACGAGCTGGCAAGCAGAACGCTGGCTAGGTTTCAGCTCCTACTCAGCCCTCAGCCCAGGCGTCCTTGCTCAAGGCACAACCCGCACCACTGCACTTGGCAGCCCCGGGCTGGGGGTCAGGGACAGGGGAGGGAGGGGACAGCTGGAGCATCTCTAGCCGGTGCCCAGACTCCAGCATGGGGTGCTGACTAAGGGGCCCTCTCGGCTGTGATTCATCCTCATCCTCTGACGGTGGCGCGCTCGGCAGCATGCAAGCGGGGCCCTGTCTGGAACACGGAACCATCTGGTCCCCCCTCCGCTCCGCGAGGACCACAGGCGGTGCCACCCACCCACTCCCAGGAGCCAGGTCCACAGCTGCAAGAGCATCTGCCGGCTCCCCAGGGCTCCGCCAGGTGACAGGGCTGGCTCCTCGTGGCCAAGGGGTGGCGGGCAAGCCTAGCAGGCCACCCCTCTGTGATCCCACAGGTCTGGACGTGAATTCCGCTGTGCCACTTAGAAGCTGGGTGACCTCTGGAAACCATTCCATCTCCCCGAGTCTGTCCTTAGCCGGCAAACAAGGCTCCTATGGCTGCCTAGGCAGTCTTCCCCATGCATCCAGGGAGAGGGGGCGCTAGCACCCCCCGTGGATACCCACCTCGAGGGTATTCCAGATGGCACAGCATTTGCCTACAACACACACACACATCCTCCCACACACTTTACATCATCTCTAGATAACTTATAATATCTGATACAATGTAAATGATTGCTGTATTATATTATTTAGGAAATAAGGACGAGAAAAAAGTCTGTGCATGTTCAGAACAAATATAACTTGTGTGTGTGTGTGTTTTTTTAAACAGGCAGAGTGGACAGTGAGAGAGACAAAGAGAAAGGTCTTCCTCTCTGTTAGTTCACCCCCGCAATGGCCGCTGCGGCCGGCGCACCGCGCTGATCCGAAGCCAGGAGCCAGGTGCTTCTCCTGGTCTCCCATGCGGGTGCAGGGCCCAAGGACTTAGGCCATCCTCCACTGCTTTCCCGGGCCACAGCAGAGAGCTGGCCTGGAAGAGGAGCAACCAGGACAGAATCTGGCACCCTGACAGGGGCTAGAACCTGGTGTGCCGGCACCGCAGCCTATTGAGCCATGGCACCGGCCCTGTGTGTGTGTTTTGTTCAATCTGCGGATATGGAACCCATGGATAAGGAGCATTGACTATGGCATATTAAGGTGCCTAACATATAGTTAGCACTCAAAGAATGGGAAATTTTACTGTTATTTCTACTATCCACATAGCTCCCTCCCTCCTCCTGTCGGTGAACTACAACACCCTGAAATCACCCAATTTAGAATTGCAACGAGGGGCTGGTGCTGTTTTAAATATTTATTTATTTGAAAGGCAGAGCTACAGAGAGGCAGTGGCAGAGAGAGAGGTCTTCCATCTGCTGGTTCACTCCCCAGATGGCCGCCACAGTGGGAGCTGAGCCAATCTGAAGCCAGGAGCCAGGAGCGTCTGCCAGCTCTCCCACACAGGTGCAGGGGCCCAAGGACCTGGGCCATCTTCTACTGCTTTCCCAGGCCATAGCAGAGAGCTGGATCGGAAGAGGGACAACTTCAACTCGAACCGGCACCCATATGGGATGCCGGCACTGCAGGCGGTGGCTTTACCTGCTACGCCACAGCACCACCCCTGCTCCTCTCAAAAAAAAACACCTGCAACGAGGGGCAAGCACTCAGCCTAGTGCCTGGTTTCTACTGCCAACTCCAGCTCCCAGTTCTAGCTTCCTGCCAACGCAGCCCCTAAGGGGCAGCAGGTGATGGCTCGAGTAGTCGGGTCCTTGCCGCCCACATGGGAGACCTGGATTGAGTTCACAGCTTTCTGGCTCTGGCCCTGGCTCAGGCCTGGCTATTGCAGGCATCTGGGGAAGGAGCCAGCAGATGGGAGCTGTGTCTGTTGAATTAGAAACAAAACAACCGAAAAACAAAGCAAGCGCAGCACAAGTCAAGGTTGTGGGTGCTTGCACTTTCCCTCACAACCTCCTCGGTCTCTCCCGCGTGCTGACTTCCTGTCCTACGGGCCGGCCTGCCCCCACTGAGATGCAGGTCCCGCAAGGGCAGAGGGCTCTGTCTGAACAGGTCCTGGTCCACTCCAGTGCCCCATAGCTGCCTGTGGAATGAAGCAGCACGTATCCTGCAGAAGCCAGGCCACCCAGGCCTCCCGGGCCCTCCTCTCCCCAGTCTGGGTACAGGACAAGGACAGACACAGAGGAATGATGCAGAAGCCCTAAAGGCAGGTCCCTCACTGCCACCACTGTGCCTCCCACAGGACCTGTGTCTTCAGCAGAGCCTGGTCCGGTCAGCTTTGGGACTCCCTGCTGAACCCCATCCACTGACTTAAGCCTCACCTGGCTGTCTCACGGTACCTGACTTCAGTCCTCCGGGCTCAAAGAAAAGGTGCCCAAATAGACGCTACACTGGGGGATGGGAGAGGGGAAGAGACGAGACTGCGGGCAGGGTGGAGTGCGGGGATTGGCTTCAGGTTTGACTCCTGCATGTTACAGGCACTTAGCTCTCATTCCCTTACGTAACCCTCATGGAGACACTGCGTAGCTATCCAAGGGATCACTTTGCAAATGAGAAAACGGGCTTGGAATACTCATTCGCTCCTAGCCATGGCAAGGAGAGACACCAACCTTAAGAATCATTGTGTTAATAACAATCCTCACAATAGCATCTCATCGCCCTGAGAGCTGCCCGTGGGCCCGCGGGGCCGAGGACCCCCACACACCATCTCTTGGAGCCCAAGGCCCCACAAACAGGGCACCCCAGGGCTGGCATTCCCCTTGGGGTCTGCCTGACTCCAGAGCCCATTTTCTCCCTATCCCACGGTCCTGATGGGGGGCGGGGGGGTGGCTGCAGCAGGCAGACAACTGTACCTCATCAATATTCTTGGTTTCTTTCATCATGTGCACCGTGGATACGGAGCTGGCTTTGGCATGAGGCTAAAATAAGCCTGAGAGCTCGGCCTTGGCTGGGGCTGGGATGCACACTGTAATTATCCCGGACTCGCGCGCACCACCCGCTGCCCTCAAGCTCACCTGTCATTTCTTCTAATTACAGTGCCACCAGACTCCAGGTAAACAGTCAACCACAGCCAGAGGATGGCTTTACTGCGTGCCCACTAGGAGCATGGCAAGGTCCCAGCACCGCATATGCCTGCCGTCTGGAGTCGATGGCATCGGAGCTGCCCTGGGAGGGTGGCCCACAGACAGCCAGGACACAGATACAGCGGGGGTCCAGAGAAATGCAGATGCCTTTCCCGACTGGGGCCCCGTGCATCAGGGACACCCCTCAGAGGCCCAGTGCTTTGCAGCGCCCACACAGCTTTCTCATTCGAGCCTTGTTCCTACGTCTGCTCCCCTCCCTTCTCGGGGTGAGACACAGCATCTTATCTCCACCCATGGCAATTTCTAACTCAGCAGGTCTGGGATGGGGTCAGATCTGCAGAAGTCTGGGATGGCACTGTAGCACAGCGGGTTAGGCTGCCACCTGTGACGTCGGCACCCTGCATGTGCACTGGTTCAAATCCAGGAGCTCCACTCTGAGCTGGATCAGAAGTGTTAATGTGCCTGGGAAAGCAGTGGAAGGTGGATCTGGGCCATCTTCCACCTACCTGGGAGATCCAAATGGAGGTCCAGGCTTCTGGCTTCAGCCTGGCCTAGCACCGGCCGTTGCAGCCATTTGGGAAGTAAACCAGTGGGTGGGATATTTCTGTCTCTCCCTCTTTGTATAACTCTTCCTTTCAATATTTTTAAAAGAGAAGTCCTGATTCCAAATCTAGCGCAAAGCTAATCTAGGGGGGCAGGTACCCTTGGGTGGCCTCAGCCATTGCAGGCATTTGAGTAGCAAACCAGCAGGTAGGATCTGTCTCTTAAGTAAATAAAAATTTTAAAGTGGAAAGTGTGTCAGGCAGAGCCAAATCCTATCCCCTTTCCTGCCGTGGATGGTCCAGGGGGCCTGGTTCTGAGTGACCAGCGAGGGGCGGTGGGCAAAGCGGAGAGCGGGCCTTTCCCCCGGCCCTGGCTGAACAGCCTGCTTACAACCAGTCCCAGCCCAACCTCAAGGCCCAGTGAAGGTCAGCTGAGCTTGAGCCTGGGCTCCAGGCTGGAGAGGCAGCTTCTCATCAGCTGGTTCCAGGTCCCAGGAGGCCACAGTTTGCAGATAGGAAAGGTAAAAATAGTCCGAGGAGACGTCTGAACAGATATCCCAATCAGAAGCATCTCCGACTCCCCCCCATCCCTCTCCCCCCGCCCCCCGCAGGCTCCACAAAGCACCTGACCTGTACTACAGCCAAGCCAGGCTCACCCCCCAGATCCGCCGAGGCCTCCTCAGCTCACCCTGCCCTGGGCAGCAGCAGAGCAGCCCTCCTAAGGTCACCGCTGCTCGACATCTCCCATGGCTCCCAAAGAGAAACCTGACCAGAAACAAGGGGGGTTGTGCAACAGTGGCCAACCTGCTGACTGGGATGCAGCACCCCATATGGGAGCGCGTGGGTTCAAGTCCTGCCTCTGCTTCCAATCCAGCTTCCTGCTAATGCACACCCTGGAAGGCAGCAGGTTCCAGTGCTTGGATCCCTGCCACCACATGGGAGACCCAGATTAAGTTACAGACCCCTGGTTTCAGCCTGGCCCAGCTCTGCCATTTGGGGAATAAAGAGTGGATGGAAATTCTCTCTCTTTCTCTGGCTCTACTTTTCAAATAAATAAACAAAAATTTAAAAAATTTTTTAATGAAGTCTCCTGGGCCAGGTCTCCAGAAATCCTGAGTTGGTAGATCTGGAGGGGGCACCAGAAATCTGCATTTCAAGCAATTAATCTCGAACCCTCTAGTAAACCCCCCTTAAGAAAGGAGAGCTCGGAGGAACACATGTCCCTGTGAGCCCGAGACAGCCTCTCTGAGCACAGTCATCCTGGGATGACACAGTGTCCCCGGCTGCTCTGCTTCCAATCCAGCTTCCTGATAACTGCGTGGGAAGGCCTCCACCCAAGTAGGAAACCCAGACGGAGCTCCTGGCTCGTGGCTTCAGGCTGCCCCAGCCCTGGCTGTTGCAGCCATCTGGGGAGTGAGCTAGTGGATGGAAGTCTGTCCTCTGCTTCTCCCTCTCTCCGTAGCTCTGCCTTTCAAATAAATAAGTAAAAAATCTTTTTGTAAGAAAGAAATCAGTCAGATTATACATAAACTTAGCTTACCGAAATGGTCACTCCAACTTGAGGCTAAGCATAATGCATTAGTGTGGATACAACTGTGGTTTTGTTTGTTTTTTTTTTTTTTTTTTACTGATTGTCTTGTCACACTCCAGGAAAAGTTCAGAACTGAAAACAGAGGTGAGAGAATAAATCAAACTCGCTGTACTGATGCTCCTGTCCTGAGTTTTGTACACTTGGCACTGGAAGGAATTTAGTATGCTGACTATCTGACGGGCATTATGATTCCGATTTAAAATACAGAAGCTTTAATCTATAGTTAGCTGACTGCTGCAATGTCAGTAATTAGCCTTAGACTCCTGATTTTTAGGTTGAGAGGTTAGTGGTGGAAATCACTGGCTGTGTATTGGGCTCACCTGGGGTGCTGCAAAAATGAAGGGGCGCACCCCATATTCTGATTTCAGCACTGGCACTCTGAACACCGTCTTTGGTAAGCAAGACAGCCACTGAGTGACTAACGGGCAGGCAGTGTACACAGCGTGGAAACGCTGAACACATGGGTCACTCACGTCCCAGGCAGGACGCAGCACCACAGCCTGGGATTTCATCACACCACTAGATCAGCGCACAACCTGCAACTTATCAATGATTTACTTCTGGGATTTTCTATGCGATATTTCTGGAACATAGTCAATCACCAATAACTGAAACTGTGGATAGTGAAAACTCAGAAAAGGGAGGACTATGGCATTTAATTTTTCACAAGACTTTGAAATTCAGTATGTGTATCCATTTAATTGATTGGATTTTCTAGTAACTGTTTAGATATCCTGGGGAAATTATGCTTGTTAGGCCATGTAACTGAAGTACTTACAAAGAAAATCAAATATATTAAATTTATAATTGGAGTTAAAACTTTCAAGGGAATGTAATCAAGCTGTAAATAGAGCCGTGTGTTTAAAGGAATTTAGCTCCATTTAGATAAAGGAATTTTTGTTCAAATATTAATTAAAACTATCCACAACGTTAAGGTCCTTTTTCTTATTTTCCTAGATTTACGTATAGAATAATGATCTCTAAATTGATGGCTTCAAGCAAATGAGGCTCTTAAATTAATGAGAATTACTTCTAAAAAATACAACAAGACTCCCAGTGGTCTTCCCTACTCATCACCGTAAAGGATGCCCCTCCTCTGAACCTCCTGTCGGCCAGATCACCTGCGTGACTACAAGACCCAGAGTCTCTCCCTGGGGCCTCACAACTGCCTGCCCCGAGAGGCCACCAAGACGCCTGGCAAACAATCACAGTCATGGATTAGAACAGCTCACACTTCCCTCCCGCTCCCCTAGGTAGACATCACTGTTGCTCTTTTTGGATGAATTAAAATGCGGCTCATCGGACTGTGGCTCCCAGCTCTGGGGTCAGCCCAGGCTAGGCTGCTGCAGGCAGCTGCGAGGTGAACCAGTGGATGGAAGATCTCTCTCTCTCTCTCTCTTTGGTTCTCTAATAAATAAAATTATACACACACACACACCTAGAGTCCAGAGAATCTAGACCTCATCAAGGCCACACAGTCAGAGGCAGGGGCAGGCCTGGAATCCAGTCTTTCATTTATTTTTTAAAAAGATTTATTTTATTTATTTGTTTGAAAGGCACAGAAACAAAGAAGGCAGAGAGAAATCTCTTATCTGCTGGTTCATTCCCCACATGCCTGTAACAACCAGCTCTGGACCAGGCCAAAACCAGGAGTCAGGAACTGCCCCCTGGGTTCAGGGGCTTAAGTACTTGGGCCATCCTCTGTTGCCTTCCTGGTCACGTTGGCAGGAAGCTGGATCAGAAGCAGAGCAATGGGGACTTGCGCCAGCACTCTACTGCGAGATGTTGGGGGAGGAAGCAGTGCCTCATCCCCTCACCAAGCCAGCCCCCACCCCCTTTTCAAATGCCACACTAACCCTATGGCCCAGAAGTGCCTGGATTCATGTCCTGGCTCCGCTTCCAAGCTTCAGCTCCTGCTTCCTGCTAACATTCATGTTGAGGTGGCAGATGATGGCTCAAGTAGTTGGCTCCCTGCCACCCACATGGTAGACTGGTTCTGGGTTCCTGGCCCCAGCCTGGCCCTGGCCTGGCTGTTGCAGACACTTGTAGATGAACCAGTGGATGGATGTAAGACTTCTGTGTCTGTCTCTCAAATAAATTTAAAGAACCACCTTAAATGTCATTGTCTCCCCCGCCCCCACATCCTTCGCTGGTCTCTCCTACCTCCCAAACCCGATCACTCCACTAATCCACACCCTAACCTAAATTCCCTTCCTCCCTCTACTGATCCAAACCACTCCCCCTCTTCCAGCCCTTTGTTCTCCAAAGAGAAGCCAGCAGGATGACATTAAAATGTAAATTAGATCTTGTCACTTCGCTGCTTAAAAGCCTTCAGGGCTTCCTAGTGCAATTAAAAAATTTAAAAAAATATATAATAGGGGCCAGCGCTGTTGGCATAGTGGGTGAAGCTGACGCCTGCAGTGCCGGCATCCCATACGGGCGCCGGTTCGAGTCCTGTCTGCTCCACTTCCAATCCAGCTCTCTGCTATGGCCTGGGAAAGCAGTAGCAGATGGCCCAAGTGCTTGGGCCCTGCACTCACTTTGGAGACCAGGAAGAAGCTCCTGGCTCCTGGCTTCAGATCGGCACAGCCCCGGCCATTGCGGCCATCTGGGGAGTGAACCAGCAGATGGAAGACCTCTCTGCCTTTCAAATAAATAAATCTTTTAGATATCTACTTTTATGAGGGCTACGAGTTCAGACTTGAGCTGACCTCAGCCCACCTCTTCCTAATCCACTCTACTTCTCTCCTTGAAACACGCCAGGCCCGCAGCCCCCTCCCCACGGAAGCGCCCACACTCTCCTGTCTGCCCACTCCTCACTCAGGTCCCCGCACGTGTCACCCTCACAGCGGCCACCTCCCCAACCAACCTGTCCTCCCTTCTTCCAAGCACTACTTCGTCGTTCCCGCCCCCAACCCAGAGAGCAGGAAATTGTTCACCGCTGGTCCCCCCTCCACCGAGGAAGCTCTCGGAACGCCCCCGGCGTCCACAGCCCTGGCTCCATTCCCAGGAGGGGAGGGGCGGGCCAGGACCCCAGGCCGAGAGGTTCAGGGCTCAGAGCACCAGGAAGCACAGGCAGAACGCTCTCTTCCCACTCTGAAACCAGCTCTAGGCCTGGAATCCCGGCTGAGACATCGGACCCCCAAGTTCCCTAGCCCCTCTGTCCACGCCACGTCTCAGGAAACGCTGCATCCCGCGGCGGGGCACGCGCACGTCTAAGCGAGAGGCCAAGTCTTTCTGGGGGGGAACGGGGTTGGAGCGGGATGGACACTCAGACTCGCCCCTCGACGTCCCGCCAAAGGTACCTGGCTCCGAGGGGCCGAGCGGCCCCGGACTCCTCCTCCTGCGCCCTCGCGCCGCGCACTGCTAGCTGGGATTCGTAGTCCTTCCTTGAGTATCCGCCCGCGCTTCCCAGAAAGCTTCGGGAATCTAGATTGAGAGAAGCCTGCGGGGAGGGGGAGGAGGAAGCGCTAGGGTTTCTGGGAGTCGTAGTCCGACGTATTCAAATAGTAAGAAATGAGCCAGAATAAAAATTGGGTAATAACTCTCATTAAATTACTTTGTCTGTCATGCTATTGACCTTGTGGAATTTTTTTTCTTATGGGTAAGTTATGTTACCTCGTTTAGAAAAAACGAGCACTGCGATTCACGGGAACTACAAGTCCCGTAAGGTATTGCGCGCCGAGCGCCCTTGGAGCGAGAGGTCGGCCTCGGCGCAGGCGCGGTGGCGCAAGGTCGGCACTGAGGAAACATGGCGGGCCCTACGATCTCTTCGAGGTTGTACTCCTTGCTGTTCCGTCGGACTTCCACCTTTGCTCTCACCATCGTCGTGGGCGCCCTGTTCTTCGAGCGCGCCTTCGATCAAGGCGCGGACGCGATCTACGAGCACATCAACCAGGGGGTGAGGGCCCGAGCCGTCCCTGACCTTGGGCTTGGGGAGGGGGCTGGGAATGGAGGTTGGGCGGGACTCAGTCTACCTTCACCAGGAAGGGGATACACCTGGGGGTTTTCTGTCTTGAGTCGGCCGACCGCCCTCACGGCTCGCGTGGATCCTAGCACGTTAAACGGGGTTAGCAGGTCCCACTTTGCAGGGGTTGTGGGTGTTTCATAGGTTTCCCCCCGGTCCGTTTGCAACACTGAACCCTTAATGAGAGTCAAGGACTTAACTGGGGCCACGCCGCCGGGAAGGCAGGGGTGAGTCCAGGCTGGAACTTGGCTCCTGCCTCTCAAGGGTCCCAGGGCAGGTAAGCAGGCGGCCGTTGTGGAAGGGACATCGTAGACACCGGATTCCAGGGAGCGGCTTGCTGTTGAATGCCCCAGCCCCAAAGTATGCGTTACGTGTAGTGAACAGGGAACGAAGCTTGAGGTAGGGAGTAGCGGTACTTTTTAAATCTGCTATGTACCAGACCCTGGGCTAGGTGCCCTGTGCGCTTCCTGGCTGTTACCGGGCAGGCGTGCTCAGCGCCTGAGTCGCTTGGATGCCCTGTTTGCACCCCGGCTGCTCTGCTCCCCACCCACCTTCCTGCTGATGCACCCCCCTGGAAGGCAGCGGATGACGGCTCCCCGTGGTTGGGTCCCCGCCACCCATGTGGGAGAGCTGGGTTGAGTTCCTGGCCCACCCTGGCTGTTGGGGATAGTGAACCAGGGCATGGAAGAGCCCCGTCTGCGTTTCTGTTTCAAATAAAATGAAAGTGAAATTTTTAATTTAAAACTAATTAAGGGCCGGCGCCGCGGCTCACTAGGCTAATCCTCCGCCTTGCGGCGCCGGCACACCGGGTTCTAGTCCCGGTCGGGGCGCCGGATTCTGTCCCGGTTGCCCCTCTTCCAGGCCAGCTCTCTGCTGTGGCCAGGGAGTGCAGTGGAGGATGGCCCAGGTGCTTGGGCCCTGCACCCCATGGGAGACCAGGAGAAGCACCTGGCTCCTGGCTTCGGATCGGTGTAGCTCCAACGATAGCGGCCATTTGGGGAGTGAACCAACGGAAGGAAGACCTCTCTCTCTGTCTCTCTCTCTCTCACTGTCTAACTCTGCCTGTAAAAAAAAGAGAGAGAGAATAAAAGAACTAATTAAGGCTGTACCAGGAAAAGCCTGGTCAGGAGCGCCCTGTCCCATTGTTCCCTTGTGTTTTTAATGTGAAGCTGTTATAAATGTTAGGAATTGTGCTAAAGCTGAGTATTGCCTTGAGTTTGCCTGCCACATATGCACTCTTTTTGTTTTATGTATGTGTGTGTTTTATTTGAAAGCTGGGTCACTCCCCAGACATCTCTAACAGCCAGGAATGGGTCAGGCCAAAGCCAGGGGCCAGGAACTCCCTCTGGGTCTCCCATATGGGTAACAGGGACCCGAGCACTTGTGTCATCGCCCATTGCCTCCCAGGGCACACATCAGCAGGAAGCTGGAACTGGGTGCAGAGCCGGGCGCAACCCCAGGTGCTCGGATATGGGACGCAGGTGTCGTAACCCGCATCTCGGCTGCTGTGCCAGACCCCCGCCCCATAACCAGGACATGGCATGTGGCTCTCTCCAGCTGGGTCCTGGGGGTACTTGGGAACTGTGAGAGGCGGGGCGTCCAGCTCATGGCTCTTGTCTTTAAAATGCAGAAGCTGTGGAAACACATCAAGCACAAGTATGAGAACAAGGAGTAGTTCCCGGGAGGCCCCTCAGGGCCGGAAGGACCAGGGCTGCCCTCCGCCGACTCTGGCCCCCGAATCAAAGGCCTCTGCTTGAAGATGGAGCGCAAGTGACCTCTTCCTGGACCACCCTTAGCTGTTGGCAAGAAATGATGTCAGCTCCCTAACAGACTCTTTAATTTCTGCCGCATATCGAGTTTATTTAGTCAAAGTCATCAGCAAATAAATGTGAATTGTCCTTGAGACGTGCTTCTGGGGTCGGCTCTTTAACGTTCCCATCTCCACTGTGTGACCCCTGAAGGGCGTCCACTGGCACTGGGAGTTTTCCATTAACTTTTTTTTAAGGTAATTTTATTTTTTAAAAATATTTATTTTATTTATTTGAAAGAGTTACAGAGAGAGGTAGAGACAGAGAGAGAGGTCTTCCATCTGCTGGTTCACTCCCCAATTGGCCGCAACAGCTGGAGCTGTGCCAATCTGAAGCCGGGAGCCAGGAGATTCTTCCAGGTCTCCCACACAGGTGCAGGGGCCCAAGGACTTGGGCCATCTCTGCTTTCCCAGGCTACAGCAGAGAGCTGGATCGGAAGTGGAGCAGCCAGGTCTCGAACCGGCAGCCATATGGGATGCCGGCATCACAGGCAGTGGCTTAACCCACTATACCACAGTGCCGGCCCCTCCATTAACTTCTGAAGAACTGTGGTTTTCAAAACAAGCTAGGATTGGAGATGTTACCTTTAGCTTTGGCTTCTAAATGATAATTCAGGATTTTTTTTTTCTTTTTAAAGATTTATTTGAAAGGCAGAGCCACAGAGAGAGAGGGAGAGACAGAGAGCTCTTCCATCTCCCGGGCCACTACCCAAATGGCCGCAACGGCCAGAGCTGGGCCAGACTGAAGCCAGGAGGCCCCTCTGGGTCCCCCATGCAGGCGCAGGGGCCCAGGGACTTGGGCCATTCTCCACCACCCCTGCAGGTGCACCCGCAGGGATCTGGATGGAAGCAGAGCAGCTCTTCCATGTGACGCTGGCACTGCAGATGGTAGCTTCACCTGCCACGCCACAACACCGGCCCTAATTCCATTCTTACATCACACAGGCACGCTGTCTCGGCCATGGGGAAGCACTGTGGCCCCAGCTGTGGAAACCCTGGTAGAAAGGTCTTGAGCCACCCACGAACCTAGGCCATAGTCTCCTTTCTGCCTTTAACTGGCTGAGTGTTTTTTTTTTTTTTTTTTTTTTTTTTTTTAGGCCGGCGCCGCGGCTCACTAGGCTAATCCTCCGCCTTGCGGCGCCGGCACACCGGGTTCTAGTCTCGGTCGGGGCACCGGATTCTGTCCCGGTTGCCCCTCTTCCAGGCCAGCTCTCTTCTGTGGCCAGGGAGTGCAGTGGAGGATGGCCCAAGTGCCTGGGCCCTGCACCCCATGGGAGACCAGGAGGAAGCACCTGGCTCCTGGCTTCGGATCAGTGTAGTGCGCTGGCCGCAGCAGCCGTTGGGGGTGAACCAACAGAAAAGGAAGACCTTTCTCTCTCTCTCTCTCTCACTGTCCACTCTGCCTGTTAAAAAAAAAAAAAAAAAAAGATTTATTTTATTTATTTGAAAGAGAGTTATAGAGAGAGGCAGAGATAGAGAGAGAGGTGTTCCACTGGTTCACTCCCCAGATGGCACCAATGGCCGGAGCTGTGCCAATCCGAAGCCAGGAGCTTCCTCCGGGTCTCCCACGCAGGTGCAGGGGCCCAAGACTTGGCTCATCTTCCACTACTTTCCCAGGCACACAGCAGAGAGCTGGATTGGAAGAGGAGCAGCCGGGACTAGCATCGGCGCCCATGTGGGATGCCGGCACTTGAGGCCAGAGCTTTAACGAGCTGCGTGCGCCACAGCACTGGCCCGGGCTGAGTGTCTTGATAGGCCGTCTGCCTCTCAGAGTTCACTCAGATGAATCCTCACCACCGGTTCCAGCTTTGCAGGCCGAGGGCAAGGCACTCGACCTTGCAGACCTTCAGTTTCCTTCTCAGTAAAATGGAAATAATAATAATACAAGTAGCTTCTACATGGGGGCTTTGCTTTTTTAAGATTTTTTTTTTATTTATTTGAAAGACAGATTGTCCATCTGCTGGTTCACTCCCCAGGTGGCCACAGCAGCCAGGCTGAAGCCAGGAGCTTCTGGGTCTCACCTGGTGACAGCAGCCCAAGCACCTGTGCCGTCTGCCATTGCTCTCCCAGGCTATTAGCAGCGAGCTCGATCGGAAGAGGAGCAGCCAGGACTCGAACCAGCGCCCTTGTGGGATGCAGGTGTCCCAGGCGGCGGCTTTGCCCGCTTTGGCACAATGCCAGCCCTGGCAGTCTGGGCTTTACCGAAAACCACTGTGAGGAACTGTGCAACTGTCACGTGAGGGAACAGCAAGCTCCGGGTTAGGTCGTGAATGCTTGCTGGGGCAGCTGTGGGCGGTTGGGTTAGACGTGGCTGGGAGGGGGCACAGAGGGCCTGGCTGGGAGCCTGACTCAGCTGGGCAGGTCCACGGCTTTAAGGAAGCCCTGAGCAGGGGTGGAGCAGTCCTGCCTTGAAGATGAGTTCCACCTCCTTGCTCTCTCGGACCTGGAGCCTGGCACGGCAGAGCGGGGATTCTGGATCATCCAGAATCCTCCTGGAGAGGGACGGCTCAGGTCAGGAAACCCACGCAGAGACGGGAGAGACCCTGGAAATGAAGTAGAGGTCTAGAGATTTCCGTCTGCCCAAGGCCGCCCGGGGTGGGCATTGGGTCAGTGCTCAAGTCGCTGCTTGCGATGCCCGCATCCCATGGGG